ATAGATCTTTTAGTACCATGTTACATAGATAAAAGTATAAATATAAATCCTCATATACTTTTAGGAATGAGTTTTCTAAATGGATTAGAAGATTATAGTATAAAAAGAGAATGATTATATATTATTCATAATGGACAAACTATATTATGCAAAAAGAATTAGATGAATAATCAGATAAGTTTTTCATTAATTGTGTATATACAAATTACTATTGTAGAAACAAATATAACAATTTGTGCTTTAATAGATACAGGAAGTGATATAACAATATTTAAAAATATTTTTTTAATTAAATCATGGAATAATAATAGTAATATAAAAATAACTGAAGTTACAGGAGAAAATACTCAAATAATAAATCTTGCAAGAGGAAAACAATATTATTTTAAATTTGGTTTAAATCAGGATTTTAGCAAGTAAAAATGGAAGAAGATAGTATACAATATACTGTATTTAGCATACCTCAAGGAAAATATGAATGATTAGTTATGACATTTGGTTTGAAAAATGCACCACAAATATATCAAAAAAAGATGGATAATATATTTAAAAAGTTTAATGAATTTCTAATAGTTTATATTGATGATATATTAAAATGTTCTAATAATAAAGAAGAGCATATAAATCATTTAATCCAATTTATTAATGAATGTAAAAAAGAAGAAATTGTAATATCTAAAAAGAAATCTATAATAGAAAATAAGAGATATGCTTTCTTGGATTATCAATAGATAAAAAAGAAATAAAATTACAAACTCATATATCCAAAAAGATAGAAAGTTTTCCAGATAAATTAGAATCCAAAAAACAAATTCAAAAATTTTTAGGATGTTTAAATTATGCAGAAAGATTTATTGAAAATCTTTCTAAGAAAAGACATAAAATTCAAGTTTACTTAGAAAAACAAATTATAAGGGATAGAATAAATAACATATAGAAATAGTTAAATCATTAAAGAAGAATGCAAAAATTTATCAAAATTAAGATTACTAGATGAAAAAGATAATTTCATTATTAATACTGATGCCTCAAATAAATATTGGCAACAATATTAAAAATAGATCTTAATGAAATTTGTAGATATTCAAGTGGAACATTTAACCAAGTAGAAATAAATTATACTACTCATGAAAAAGAATTACTAGCAATTATTAGAGGAATAAAAAAGTTCTTATTATTTTTATTATCCAAAAAAATTATTGTCGAAACTGATAATTCTCAAATTGCAGAATTAGTCAGGAATAAGTTACCCTCAGAACCACAATACAGAATGTTTCATAGATGGCAAGCTTATTTAGCATTTTATAATTTTGATATAGTCCATATTAAAGGAGTTAATAATTTTCTTGCAGATTTTCTCAGCAGAAACATAGAATTTGCGGATGGATAAAGTCAAGGTCATGAAATTATACTAATCTATCCTACACATACAAAAGAGGACGAATTTTCTTAAAGAAGAATCCGAAGATATAAACTCTGGAGCAACCCAGGTCTCAGAGATGTTCAACTCAAATATAAAAATACTGTTGAATATCATTACTGAACATCAAAAATATGTCATAGAACTCAAAAATCAAGTTGATGCTATTGCAGTACAACTAAAAAATATACTGTCTGAGACAGATATATCAAAGAGCTCAGAAATGAGTTTTCCAAATCAATACCAAACATGGACAGTTGGAAGCAGCAGTGGACTCAGACGTAACAACATACCAACTGATAATAAAGGAGATTTCATTTCTGTATCATCAACCAAGAAAGTTATGATACATGGAGATAAAAGAGATACCAAAACAATCAGTATCATAGACCAAGAAGATAAAATTCCTTTAGATCCAAACGAAGAAAAATATGCCGAAATAGTCAAAATCGCTTATGAAATAAAAATAAGTGATTCATATTTCATTTCTCCGAGAAATAATGTTTACCTCAGAATAACAGCCATGGAAGGAGGTGACCCTTCATTTATAAAATTTATGACAGGCTATGGATTCATGAATTTGATTTATCCAGGAAAAGATTTTATTGAAATTTCAAAGTTTGATGACATATTCATTAAAGAAGTATCTAGATTTGCCAAAAGAAGGAAGATATTTTTGAAATTCTATTCAATCAGTCCAGAATATGATGGAGTTGTTTACTATCCAATTGAACACATAATCTCAATTGGATATGTTGTAGCCAATTTCCGAATTGATGTGACAGAGAATAATAGAAAAGTTTCAACAGTGACAAAATCATGGATCAGACATAGAGAGCACTTGAAATTAAAGTCATTTACAACATTGCCAAAAATTTGTTTGATAAAAAATTCTCGTGCTTATACTAATCTGAAAATTGGATGCTGGTATCCAATGGAGAATATGCAAAATCAGAAATTTTAAAAGACTATATTACAAGATTTGATATACATCAATTTCTAGGATATCCTACTACTATAAAAGAATCCTACCAGCTAAGGAATTGCCCCAGCTGCATGTGAAAAAATGAAAGAAGAAGACAAAGCACCTTTTGACAAAGGTGTATGAAGAACGGTAATACTACATGTGAAGACATTGAAGATAAAGAGTAATAATAGAAAAAGATGCTCTTTGGATAGAAAAGTTGAACCAACGTGTGAAGATGTAGACCCAAGGAATAAAATAGAGAGGCAAGAGTACATTTACTGATGTAATCAATGATGTAATAAAGTCTCATAACCTTGTATAAATAGAGACATTACCATAGAAAAATATCATCTCATTCTATCTTGAATTCTCGAGTTGTAAGCAATAGTCCATTCTCAGTTTGAAAAGCCAGTTTTTCTGGAAATTCCTTTATATCAAATAGAAGTCTTGTATAAATTCTGATAGGAATAAAATTCCAACATTTTGATATCAATATGAGTTTCTAAATCTTTTTCCCATAAATTCTTGAAGGATCTAATAAAAAATTTTCCTTCTTATTTTAGCAAAAAGAGAGTTTTCTTTAACAGAAATTTAGAATTTTATTCTTTAGAAGTTGATACAGTGAGAGCAAGTAGCTGAAATAGTAACAATTCCGTGAAGGCAGGAGGCCGTTGAAGGAAGCAGTTTACAAATTCAGAGCTCGAATGTCACTCGATTCTAAGAATACAGGTCTAGATCAAACCTAAGGTAAAACTATTAAACTTTTGCTAAAATTAGAATGAATCTTTTTAAAATTTTAAAAGAATCGCAGGGACAATTGCATAATGATTATTTTTATAAATGTCAGGATATACAATTGAAAGATTAGATAATTTATTATAATTAAAAAATATAAATTTACCATTTGAAGAATATGATATTTTATTAAGAAAATATGATATGTATGTTGCAGATTATTTTTATTTATTAGATCATATAATGATTTTATATTTAAATATCCAAAATAGAGTAAATAAAAGATAAAATGATTAAAAGATTAGGACATATGTTGCAATATAGAAAGAATTATATCATTAAGGACAATATAGACTTTTCCATAAAAAGGAACAGTGATAGGTCAAATAGAAAAATTTTTCCTTCTATTACT